AAGGCGAATAGAAGAGAACTAATTTGCTTACCTCAGTGGAGGGGAATGCAGCTGGTCTTTTTAGCCATGAAGCCCTAGGGGCCATGTGTCAGGTCCGTGCCAAGGTCCTGTCCACCCCTCTTCTCTTCCAGTCCCCAGAAGTTTGGCCAGCTTGCTTCCTTGTCCCATCTGCCACCATCTACTCTTCCACATGGGTTCTCACTCTCTCCACCCATCTTCATCTCCCAGAATCCTAGAGGAGCAGCCACTCCAATTGGACCCACCTTCGGGATCCAAAACAAATTCTCTATTTTGAGATTGAAGATTTTTAAGATTTCAAGATTTTTGTTTTAAACCAACAACTACAAGAGAGCAGGGAAAGATTAGTAGGAGGAAATTCGATGCTTTTTTTTTTTTTTCCAAAAAAATGTAAAGGGAATTATACAAAACTGTCTACAAATACTTAAGCCTGTAAAAAGGTCTAAATCATTCTCATTTACTCCACTTCTGGGATTACTTCCGTAATAAGAATAATAAGATTGATGTGAAGATCACTTACTAGGTGGAAACTACTTTCCGACATTGTTGAATTTAATCCCTGGTGTCACTGTGGAAGCTGCGTATTATATTGTTTCATGGGTTCGGAAATAGAGGTTCAGAGAAGTGAAGAAGCTCACCCAAAGTCAACCAACTAAGATACAGGACCTACCTCACAGGATTGTTGTCTTAAATGAGTCATATTTGTTAAGTGCTTAGAACAGTATCTAGCATGTAGTAAATGTTATATAAGTATTAACTAGTACTGATAGAATGTAACAGGTCCGAGATGCAAATTCAGATTGGTATGACTCCAGAGATGACATAGTTTGAATATCCTGCACTGGCTGGCTATGCATTATTTTCAGCAGGGGCAGGAAAAAGTAGTCCTAACTTCCCATTATCTCAGTCTAATATATTCCTTGAGTGTAGTTACTAATTCTGATTTTCCCTAAAAAAAAATTGTATTACTCAGTCACATAGGTTTCTCTCTCACCAAAGCCTGGGGATCCTGCTTAGGTGGAAAGGTAAGTAAATACCTACTATCCCATACAAAGGACCCTCACATAAATTGGATTCTTTTAAATCATTATGAAAAGGATGCTTGGGTAGCTCAGTCGGTTAAGTGTCTGCCTTTGGCTCAGGTCACGATCCCGGGATCCTGGGATCGAGCCCCCCTTCGGGCTTCCTGCTCAGCAAGGAGTCTGCCTCTCCCTCTCCCTTTGCCACTCCTCCTCCACTCGTGCTCTGTCTCTCGCTTTCTCTCAAATAAATAAAATCTTTAAAAAATTATATATATGTATGTATATATATATATATATATATAAAATAAATCATTAGGAAATGTTGTGATAGAAATCCCTACCCTAACATCATGCAGGAGAAATTCACCTTGAATTAGTCTCTCCCCAAAATAAAAATCATCTGAGTGCCACAAGAGAAAAAGTAAGTTTGGTTCAATTGGTTCCTTTCCCATCACCTGCACACAGCTCTCCCTGAGGAACAACGTCGCTTCCATAAGAATCCAACCCCTGTAAGCAAAAGGAAAAATAGTGGATGTACCTGTGATTGCAAAAGAAATTTCTATATTCAGTCAGATAGAAAGATTGGTCATATGTTTTTACTTTTTTATTTTTTTCTTGGTTCAAAAAAGTTTAAAGTACAAAAAAGCATGAAGTGAATACTCTCCCAACTCTTTCTCCTTCCTCCTAGTTCCCATCTCTGTACTCCCCCATAACTACTGCCGTTTCCTGAGTGTCCTTTCAGAGTTTCTTTATATGTACACAAATAAGCATGAATATATTCCTTCTTTTTCACTTCCCCTTCACACAAAAGCAGCATGCAGCATTAACTGTTCTTTTGCTTTTTATTTTTGACTTAGCAGTAGGATTTTGGAGATCTTTCCATGTCGGTACATAGAAAACGTCCTCTTTAGTACTCTTTTTTTTAGTTCTACCATAATTAACATAACAAGTCTCCTCTAGGTAGACGTTTATGTTGTTTCTTTTTTTTTTTTAAGATTTTTATTTATTTATTTGATGGACAGAGATCACAAGTAGGCGGAGAAGCAGGCAGAGAGAGAGGAGGAAGCAGGCTTCCTGCTGAGCAGAGAGCCCGATGTGGGGCTCCATCCCAGGACCCTGAGATCATGACCTGAGCCGAAGGCAGAGGCTTTAACCCACTGAGCCACCCGGGCGCCCCTGTTTCTTTTTTATTTTAAAGGAAGTTTTATTTTATTTTATTTTTTAGAGAGCACAAGCACAGGCAGCAGAGGGGAGAGGGGTGCAGAAGGAGAGAGGGAGAGAATCTTAAGCAGGCTCTACTCACCCAGCACAGAGCCCAACACAGGACTCAATCTCGACCCTGAGATTATGACCTGAGCTGAAATCAAGAGTCAGACGCTCAACCAACTAAACCACCCAGGTGCCCCATTTAGGTTGTTTCTACTCTTTTGCTCCTACAAGACTATGATGAATAGGACTGAATCAATAAATTTTAATTTACTGAATGTTTAAAGCAATGGGTTACCATTACTTTCAGCAGCAGTAACTTTCCTGTAAGACATTTCCAAATACCATCCCCTTAAGATCTGCTTTAACGAATAAATGAGATCTATTTCTAATAGGAAATATTATTTGCATGGGAAAATTAATGTTTCAAAATTGTCAATTTTAGTTTATCCTTTTAAGTATTTTCCTGCATGTTTATTTACACTTATTAACTTAATGGGCATTTTTGTCCTGGAAAATATCAGCCCAGAACAGAGCCAATCATCATGAATTTTAAACTAATAGAGTTTGGATTAGAGAAATATTTTACTTAATCTTCTAAACTTGTCTTAAACTCTGTACAGAGAATTCTGAATTCTATATGTATTTACAACATTGTCAGCTTTAATTGGAATAGTCAGAGCAGTATTCTTTTTCTTAAAAAAATTTAAAGTGCAGGGATTATTTTAAAAATTACTTTATGTACAAATGCATTACTTTTATGATTTGCTTCTTAACAACCTCGTCTAGAATTAAGGCTAGATTTGAGGTGAGTTTCAAAAATTATTGCCAAGATGAAATGTGACAATATAATACTTATTTTCATTGTGAGCTAGGTACGTTTTCCCGTCTGTCTTAATATCAATTAGTAAACAAGCCACTTATGAAGCTGTAGGGTTATCAGTTGGCATGAAGGGCAATGCCTCTCTTCAAGAAATTGAAATCTGATTGAGAAGACAAAATATTCATTAAAAGAAAGGCAACAGCACAGTAACAACTAAAAGTTACACAGCACTTACTATGTACAAACCATCATGCTGAGTATTTTCCAAATACTACTTTATTGCAAGTTCACAAAGAACCCTACAAGATAAGTACAATTATCCATCATAATCATCCCATTTTACAGAGGCACAAGGTGGTTGAACACTATAGCTAGAGTTACACAGCTGGTAAGTGGCAAAAGCAGGATTCAGACTCAAATTGTCTCACTGGGGAGGCCACGCATGTGATCAGCCCTCTTTTTTTTTTTTTTTTCTTTTTCTGTTTTTTTTTAGTTTCAATACTGAGGTTTATTTTTTTTTTCCACAGTGAGATTAAGTATCAATTTAAATAATTATCAGAATGTATAAATGAACATTCATTCAGGTAAAATATTACTGCTTTAAAAGTAACTAAGAAATATTTTGTATGTAATCAGCATAGTTTATGTTTAGGTTAACAGTCGCCATCTTGAGAGTAGAAAAGGTATTTTTTAACCAATAAATAAATTACATTAAAAAAAACAAGATATTTATATCTGAAGTATGATACATCCTTAAATGTTTTTCTTCATATAGCACCCGAACTTCCCAAATATCTAGGAAGTATCTCCCAAAATATAACTCATACCTTAAGTCATTAAAATAAAGGCCAAGAAAAAGCCAATTTAAGACAAAATATACAGTTTATATTCTTAATTCCCCATTCAATAAAATATCAATTGCCCATTTATTAAAAGTAAATGAACTGTATATATGTTAGTGCTGTTAGTGCTGAAAATCTGAAATATAATATTTTTAAAAGTCACTCTTTCTCAAAGTACTTAGAATCTTGCATCTCTGGTGGCAAACCTGAGAAGTAGCAAGCATTTTACTTCTGCAGTTTTCATTCTTCCACTCCCAAAACAATGGATGGCTCACACCGCCTCTTGAGCGTGGTGGCAGTCAGACAGTGAAGCAGAAGGACTCCAGAGAAGGCAAAGACCTTAGTGGTCAGGGAGAGTTTCAGAGGGAACAGGATTTGAGAAGCACTGGGGAGCACATTCCAAACCTCCTGCCTCTACTGTGAGCACTGCGGGAGGACAGCCTTTCAATTGGGTTTCTCTGGCTTTTTCCACAATAAATACCCTAAAAATAAGAAAAACATTGCAGGAACAGTTGTTAGGCAAGAATGGCCATGGTGTTTAGGGCTGGACACTGAGGAGACCTATTTCTGTAAAGCGATGCTAAGATACAGAGAAGAAGCCAGGGTAGGTGGATTAGGACCAGATCACACACGCTCTGTGCTGGGCTGAGAACTGAGGCTGTATGCTCTCCAGCAGCACCTCTCACACTGTAATGTTTACTGAAGTCACTGGGGTCTTGTTAAATGCACGTCCTCAACCAGCAGGTCGGAGGTGGGCCCCCAAGAGCCCTCATCCGGTGTAAGCTCTGAGTCATGTCGATGCTGCTGGTCTTGGGACCACAGCCCGAGCAGCAAGACTCTAGGCTCTGAGCAGCAAACAGGCTTTGGAGCAGGGGATGTGGATGGGGGGAGAGGGAAGTGATTGAAAGCCCCCTGTGTCATCTCCTCCAAGTTGTGGCCGACAATTTTAAAGACTTTTCAGAACTGCGGAATTTTCTTCAGTCTGGTTTATAGAACCTCTCCCTGTATGCCCCACCCCTTCCTTCGGAGGCCAAGACATCTTGCCTTAAGGAAGGTTTTAACCCACACTTTTCCTTTCTTTTGATACAGAGCAAGGCTAAAGAGCTACCCCTCTCGGCTGTACGTTTTATGGAAGAACTGGGTGAATGTGCCTTTGGAAAGATCTATAAGGGCCATCTCTATCTCCCGGGCATGGACCATGCTCAGCTGGTCGCCATAAAGACCTTGAAAGACTACAACAACCCCCAGCAGTGGACAGAGTTTCAGCAGGAAGCCTCCCTGATGGCCGAACTGCAGCACCCCAATATCGTCTGCCTTCTAGGCGCCGTCACTCAGGAGCAACCGGTGTGTATGCTTTTCGAGTACATGAATCAGGGGGATCTCCACGAGTTCCTCATCATGCGGTCCCCGCATTCCGATGTCGGCTGTAGCAGCGATGAAGACGGGACCGTCAAATCCAGCCTGGATCACGGAGATTTTCTGCACATCGCAATCCAGATCGCTGCGGGCATGGAGTACCTGTCTAGTCACTTCTTCGTCCATAAGGACCTTGCGGCTCGCAATATTTTAATCGGGGAGCAGCTTCATGTAAAGGTTTCAGACCTCGGGCTTTCCAGAGAGATCTACTCTGCCGATTACTACAGGGTACAGAGTAAGTCTCTGCTGCCCATTCGCTGGATGCCCCCTGAAGCCATCATGTATGGCAAATTCTCGTCTGATTCAGATATCTGGTCCTTTGGGGTCGTCTTGTGGGAGATTTTCAGTTTCGGACTGCAGCCCTACTACGGATTCAGCAACCAAGAAGTGATCGAGATGGTGAGGAAGCGACAGCTGTTGCCGTGCTCCGAAGACTGCCCGCCCAGAATGTACAGCCTCATGACGGAGTGCTGGAACGAGATTCCCTCCAGGAGACCCAGATTTAAAGATATTCACGTCCGGCTGCGCTCCTGGGAGGGACTGTCCAGTCACACCAGCTCTACGACCCCTTCGGGGGGAAATGCCACCACGCAGACCACCTCCCTTAGCGCCAGCCCAGTGAGTAATCTCAGTAACCCCAGATACCCCAATTACATGTTCCCGAGCCAGGGTATCACGCCACAGGGCCAGATTGCTGGTTTCATTGGCCCACCGATACCTCAGAACCAGCGATTCATCCCCATCAATGGATACCCAATACCTCCTGGATATGCGGCGTTTCCAGCCCCCCACTATCAGCCGGCAGGTCCTCCCAGAGTGATTCAGCATTGCCCGCCTCCCAAGAGTCGGTCCCCGAGCAGCGCCAGTGGGTCCACGAGCACCGGTCATGTGACCAGCTTGCCCTCTTCGGGATCCAACCAGGAAGCCAATATTCCCTTACTACCGCACATGTCCATTCCAAATCATCCCGGTGGAATGGGTATCACCGTTTTTGGCAACAAATCCCAAAAACCCTACAAAATAGACTCAAAGCAACCATCTTTGCTAGGAGACTCCAATATTCATGGACACACCGAATCTATGATTTCCGCAGAACTGTAAGATGCACGACTTTTGTAAATGTGGTATCCAGGAAAAACTAGAAAGCTGTAGGAAAGATTTAAATTCAAAGGTTTTTGTTTTTGTTTTTGTTTTTATTACAGTGAGGTTCTCATTTAGCAGACATTGCAACAAGTATCTTCTGTGAAGTTTAAGTGTGTCTTACCAAGCAGGGCAGACACCAGCCAGAAAAAAAAACAAACCAAAACGTTGTGGGATTAACCCTCCATCAGGGGTACATGACATGGCATTGGGATTGGGACATCTGGTTTCAAGTACTAAAAACTGCCAGCCAGTGAAGAGGAAAAGAATTCTGTGATTAAATATCAAACCAAAAAGGAAAGTCAGTGGTGCTTTGTGTATTTGCCTCCGTTCTCCATGACTGGTCTCTCCCCAAAATGTATATACCGTAGCATTTGTCTACCTGCTGTCTTATCTCCAGGACAAATGTTCAGGAATTATGTCCATTCAATTTAGACTTTATGCATACGTGTATGGAAATGATACTCAGAATCAATGAGGAAACTTTAGGCCAAATTGGAAATCCCAGAGGGAATCGAGCCATAAGACAAGTATTAGATCCCCCGAAGCCTTCTACACAGTGGGGCTTCTTTGGGAAGGTGCAGAGTGTGCCTCTTTGTGAATTTCCTCTGCTGATCACGAAGGCCTTTTCCACACTAACCTTTTCCACAGTGTGTTTACACAAGCACTTGAAATAATACAGGGCATCAGACCATAAAAGGGCTAGATGTGGATGCCGGAATTGATTGTTGGTTGATAGTTCAATCCGTTGCATTAGAAATGAGGAACCAAAGGAAGCACAGTCAGGAAAATGGCCCCTCGGTCTAGATCAGCACCCATGGGAGAGGAACAAAGGGGCCCATGGGGACAGCCTCACAGGGGCTTCCCTGGACCCATAACATTGAAGAGGAGAGGTGTGGCTGCAGACCAGCACATCAGTGCCTACAACCTCCTGCGGAGGGGCGCTCACCCTCAGAGAACTCTGGGCAAGTAGGAAACTCTATGACACCAGTATCTAGTTCAAGTTTCACTTTCACCTTTTCTTTTCTGATCTGGAAATGTTCACAAATGTTACGCCAGCACCAGAAGTTACGACGATTTATTCATAGAATTGGTTGGAATCCAAAGACTACGAATTCTAGTTTGCAAAATATCACAGTATTTTTAGAGAACAAGTACTGAGTTCTCATTTCAAAGATTACCGTGAATTGAATTTTTTTAAACTGGTGAATAGAAGGAACGTAATCATTTTTGCCTTAGTTAGGAGGGAGGCATCAAGTGTGCGTCTCATGCCACTTGCCTACCAGCCATCTTTGGCCAAGTTTAGAATTCTTATGGTTTCAAGTTCTATATAGGAAGGAATGTTATGTTTTATTTTTTTCTCTTGTCAAAAAAATAACTCCTTTATTCTAAGAGCAGTGTCTCAAAATCTCATTTCTTTTTTTGACTTTACAGCTAAAGAGATTTTTAGAGAGACTTACAGGATATAAAATGATTCCTGGAAATGATATTTAATGAGGAGAATGCAAAGGGATTAGAAGCACATTGGTGTTTCAGTTTTGTTAAAAAAAAAAAAAAAAAAGGCAATTAGGATGAGAAATCAAGGAAATATGTTTATGAAATATGTTGTAATTTTCCCAAACACTGAATCTTCAAACAATAAACATGGACTTATTGCTACTGTGAACTCAAAGAATTGGCTATATCCAGTTTTATTGGGAGATAAATTAAGAAATATTTTTGTGACATAAATAAGCTGATTCAAAAGTTACATTTCTGAACTTTAGGTAGAGGAGAATATTTGTATCCTTTTGTTGCTATGCAACTGTTTAATGATGAAGATTCAAACCACAATTTTGTATATCATACGACAATCAATTGTTTTCCAAGAATATTTATTATTTTAAGTAAACACAATTTCAGTGAATCTGAGTTTTTCTAGGAGTCCCTTAAAGGGAAATTAGCATTCCATGAGCCAGTAAAATACCTACTCTGGAAAAACATTACTATGGTTAAAAAATAAATTCAAGTTAGTTTTTTATAAAGAACTATAACATTTATTTTAAACATTTTATAATTACTGAGGACATTAAGGTGAGCAAACCAAATTTCAAAACCACTTGTAATAATGTATTTTATAATAGCACTGTGATACTACATAACACAGTCCCTTTTGTATTAAATAGTATTTTTTTTTCACAAACTGAAAAATATCTTTCGCTTTGTTGACAATGTTTTGTAAGATGACTTTATTTTCAGCTCTTTTCTTTCCTTTTTTTTTGCACAAAATTATGTTTATGGTTTGTATCACAGAAGTGAAAATATATCTCTGCATTTTTATATCTGGTCTGTTTCTTTGTTTCCTTTGTTTGTTTCTTTTTAACTCGATATAGATTTTCTTCAAATATACCATGGCAATATTCAACTATCTTGCCCTCCCATATCTTTTCTTATTTTCACTGCATGCATTTAATCACTGTATTACTTAATGTTTGATTTGTTATTATGGGCATTTCAAATAGACAAGCATGGATGTAATGACAAAAAGGCTATTTTATATTGAGGATATGTGCATTTGTATTTCACACACCAGAGATGATATTAAACACTGATTACTTTATGCTGCTGTTTATTAAAAATGTTTATCATATAATATTATTTCCTGAATATTACTATCATGGAGAGGTATTTGGGAATTTTAATATTATTTCTCCTAATTATTGACATTTCATAGAAAAAGGAATCATAATTCCTATTCACTGCTTTTTCATTGAAGTGATTTTTTCCAAGTAGGCTTTTAACATAGACTTGGGCATTCTTTTGCCAGCGAACACAGGTGGAAGGGAAAAATCCCAATGATTTCATGACCATATACCAACCAACTCTATATGGCAAGATTTTAGTTTTTAAAATCAAAATAATATATTGAATAATTACAACCAAATGGAATGTAAAAATTGGTTTTTTGAAGTTGCATCCTTTTCTGCCTTGTTTCCATGTGAACTTAGACATCAAAAATCATGTCTTAGAACTCTGAAGAAGAAAAAGCTGTGTACATCTTATCGTGTTCAACTTAGATTCCAACCACACTGATAAAATAAAAGAAATGTGGCCGTTTAATTGTCACAGCTTATCTTTATGACCTTCTTTGCCCAAAAGAAAGAGTTCCCCATCTGGCAATTAATACACACTGTCAAGGAAAATGAGTATCATTATGAAAGTTCAAAGAACCTCTCCATTCTGCTCTTTAATACAGAAGGGAATACAATAAAACCTTCAGGGCCTTATCCATCTGTTTTAGGTACAGTTCTTGTCACCACCTCAGCAATCAAACTCAATAAAGCAGTCACTTCACATGGCAGCTAGATCGATGTCAGGTTGGGTTTCTCCCTCTCACGTGAATTCTTCAGTCTGTCCTTCACTCCTGTTTCCTTCTGTCTCTCCAGGCTCTTCCCCTCCCACCATCCCCAGTCCCTCCAGCTCTGTGATTTGGGCCTTACCTTTGGTTCCTTAGTCACCAACATTTGCACCTCAGATAATGCTTACGGCAAACCCCTGACTACTGATTAAAGGGAGCTCTGTATCTGCCTTTCCCAGTGGTTCACAAGAGTGCAGTCCTCAGACGAGCAGACTTTGGAACTTGTCAGAAATGCAAATTCCCAGGCCCCTCTTTGAAGCACTGAATCAGAAATTCTGGGGTGGGACCCAGCAATTTGTGTTTTAACAAATGCTTCTGGATTCTAAAGATCGAGAATCATGTTAAAGGCCTCGGGGTGGATGTGGGGGAATGGTCATTATCTCCTTAGAAATGTATATATAAGCATTTAATAATATTTTAGCCACTTTAGTTCCCCTAAGGAAAATCAAGTTTTACTTAATGAAAAATTTAGCACTAAAACGCTTTTTGCTTTAACCATTGCTTTAACCATTTGCTTTAACCATTTAACCATTAACAATTTAAATATAACCATTTAACAATTGGTTAAGTTTTTGTAGTTGTTCTCTTGGATAGAAAGCTAATAGCCCTGGCCTTTGACAAGACTACCTTGTCTAGTTCACACAAGGCCCATATTCTTGGGTAGTAATCAAATAGTAAACCCTTCATGTGGACCAGCTCAAAAGACTTGGTCTCCTGGCAGTGACGATTAACACAACTAAAAGAACTCTCTGTGTTGCAACTTGCCAAATTTAGGGTCAGGGGTAGGCTGTTCTTTCTTTTTTTCCTTTTTTTTTTTTTAATTGTGTTCAGTTAGCCACCGTATAGTACATCATTAGTTTTTTATGTAGTGTTCAACGATTGATTAGTGAGATGTTCTTCAACAGAGGAATGGATAAAGAAGATGTGGTCCATATATGCAGTGGAATATTACTGAGCCATCAGAAAGGATGAATACCCACTATTTGCGTCAACATGGATGGAACTGGAGGGGATTATGCCAAATGAAGTAAGTCAAGCAGAGAAAGACAATTATCATGTGGTTTCACTCGTATGTGGAACATAAGGAATAGCATGGAAGGCCATAGGGGAAGGGAGGAAAATCCGAAAGCAGAGAAATCAGATGGGGAGTCGAACAATGAGAGACTGTGGACCCTGGGAAACAAACTGAGGGTCTCAGAGAGGAGGGAGATGGGGGGAGGGGATAACAAGATGTGCGCGAGGCTGGTCTTTCTTGGGAGGAGGAAAGATCCAGCTCCCAGTAAGCATCAAGCAGAAACAGCTGCAGAGGCCTCCCCCCCCGCCCCCCCCCCCCAGCTTCCTGTGACAAGCTGACCCAGTTGGCTGGATGCAGTCACCTGTGGCGGTTCCCCTATGTTCCTTTGCCAGAGGCGGTCCATCAGTCCTTGCTAGCTAGCTGTGAGGATTCCTCGGCTCAGATTATGCTCCCCACAGCCGTTAGAGACCGAACTCTGAGGGAAGACAGCAAGAAGGATTCAAGGGAAGTGCTGGAGGTGAAGCTCATACTGTTCTTAATTTATACAGCATTTTTTTTTTCAACTAATAGTTCAAATGCTAGGGAGGAAACGCTCTATTAGAGGAGAAGGAGCAAGGGATCGCACACATAAGAGGAAAAC